ATTTATCTTGATTCCATTTCAGGAAGCATGAATCAGTCCCCAATGACATGTTACCTATTGCACTGCATACTCCTTAAAGAATTTCATACGCCTATGGCTTACCCGTTATAAATCTTTCTTTTTTTAATTTTTTTTTTTTACAGGGGAGAGCGTGAACGCAGTCCCCCACTGCCACAAATTATGCAGTCGAGTTTCCCGAATTTGGGGAAATCGCAGGGGTCAGCACATCTGGAGTGCAATGGATAAGCCTCGCCCTGGGAAAACCACCTTCGTCATCATGGTATCTCCCCTGCCAGGTAAGTATACCCGTTATAAATCTTTTTTTTTTTTTTTTTTTTTGCACATTCCAAGAGATTTTATTTATTTTTTTTTTATTGGATGTTTTATTTACATTTCATATGTTGTCCCCTTACCCCATCCCCCACCCACCCAGGAACCCCCAATCCCCTCACACCTCCTCCTTCTTCTTTGTGGATGTAACCTCTATCTATCCCCCCACTCCCACCTCCCCACCCTCAAAACTCCCACCCCCTGGGGCGTCCAGCCTTCATGAGGTCAAGGATCTCATCTTCCACCTGTGCCCAGCAGGGCCCTCCACTCTTATATATTCAGCTAAGGCCCTGGATCCCTCCATAAGTGCTCCCAGGCTGGTGGTTTAGACCCTGGGAGCTGTGGTTGGTTGGTATTGTTGCTCTCCTCATGGGGCCACAAATCCTTTCAGCTCCTTCAGTCTTCACTCTAGCTCCTCCATTGAGAACCCCATGATCACTTCAATGGCTAGTTGTGAGCATCTGCCTCTGAATATGTCAGACTCTTGAAGACCTCTGAGGAGACATCCATATCAGGCTCTTATCAGCATGCACTTCCTGACTTCCACATCAGCATCTACCTTTGGTGACTGCACATGGGAACCCAGCCTTTCTGTGCCAGTTTACAATATTCTCCCACCTTACAGGACCCATATCACAAAGCCCTCCTCTCTCAGATTTCCTGCCTGACCTCATTAATCAGCTGTCATGGAACACTCAATGTACAGTGGAATAGTTATTCATCCACATACATCACTTTCCTCGGTACAAACTCTATTGATGGAGGCACCAGTATTTAAGACAAGAATCGTTTGCAAGCACTACAACCGTGACATGAAAACTATTAAGACAATGATTTTGAAAAACGTCCTGATAGTCTTCATTCATTGTTGAATGAGCATATATGATGCTGAGATACTGTAAACAGAACAAATGGGAAATGCAGTGCAATGACTGTAAAGCATTAATCCCAAACAGCCTTAATAGCAAGCAAGTACTGAGGAGAGAGCATGGCATTAAAGGCCGCGGTGGAGTTTAAATGCAACTTTTGCCACACGATTTTATCAGGAAAGTTTCTTTAAACTACAAGTTTGAGGGGTTTCATCTGCAAAATGAGACCAACAAGTACTTCCAGCCTTACAGAACTATCGTAGGAGCTACAAAGTCCTATATAATTATCAGCCTTTACTATTCACATTTTACATGTTAAGATACTAAAAGCTTATCCTGTTTCTGATAGTCCTTATTGGAGAAAAGAAAAGCCAGGCAATATTTTTAAACAAAATCAAAAACTTTCATTACCAGGTACTAGGCCAACTTCACCTTTTTCAGACAGAACAATTATACAATTGATTCTCACTCTTCGTGCCCCTCACTTGGACTTTATATTATATAAGAGTAATCTTCATATCTCTCTCCCCGTCCTAGTTTGCTTTCTGTTTCTGTGATAAACACCACACCCCAAATCAATCTGGGAGAAGGGTAGAAAGGGTTTCTTTCACCTTGCAAGTTATACATCATCCAGGAAAGCAAAGGCATCAAGGACTCAAGCCCAGACTTGGAGGCAGCGAGCTAAGCAGAAGAACCGAGGAATAGTGCTTGCTGGCTAGCTTCCTCTGGCTTGATCAGCCTGCCCAGGACCACCTGCCCAAGCATAACACCACCCCCAAAGGACTGGCCCCTCCCACATCAAAAGCAATTAAGAAAACACGACCATAGTGCTCGTGAGTCAAATCGTCAATAGAGGTTTCTTATTCCCAAGTGACTACAGTTTGTGTCAATTTAACAAAACTAGTAAGCATTCTCCATTTCTTTCCTTTATCCACAGTATCCCTTTCTTCATACTACTTCTATGTCTGTATCCATGGTTACTTTATGGTTCTCTTATTTTAATAAAGTTTAACTCTCACAAGTGTATCTTTAGTATATCTATTTAGGATCTAACATAGATAATTGTTAGTAAGTCTACAATTTCAGTACACACACACACACAGAGCAACCAAACCTTTCTAGCTAAAAAGCAAATCTAGTAAACGCTCATTTCTTCTATGTATTTTTGAAACTCGGATAAATGTTTCCAATTCCAACTACACGCTGCATTTTACATCTACAACCAACAGAGGGCGCTCCACTATCAAGGATGGTCTGAAAACTCACTGGGTTCACAACACAGATTCAGTACAATACGTCGCTATATAGACTCGCTCTGAAACACAAGGCTGACAAAGACCCACGGACTTAAGTTTATTAAGGCACTTTGAATTTAAACTTTGGATAATCTCCTGGAGCTAGACCTCTTTCAAGATCCCATAGCGGTCTCCTCTATGCAAATGTAGTTCTTTTCAAGAGTCCTACACACAACAAGGGTCTCTGGTGCAGAGCCAGCCATAGAGGGTTTCTTTGTGGAAACGGAGTCACGTGACACGGGGCCAACGCAATTCTCGTGAGGAGCCGCGGCAGCCAGAGCTCCCGCCATGCGGCGCCGAACCTCACCTGCAGGGGGCGCCCGCAACAAGGCGGAGAGCAGGACGGCGGCCAGCGACAGCGCCGAGAGCAGGGAGCCCGAGGCCCCGGCCCGCCGCCGGCCCCGCGGAGCCCGGCCCGGGGCCAAGGCCTCCATCCACACGCCGCCGACGGCCGAGCCTCGGCGCAGAAGGTCGTTACCTGGCGCGCGCCCACCCGCCGCCGGAAGTTGGCGGACGGCAGGCCGGAAAGACGGACCGACGGACACGCCGCCACTTCCGCTAGGGTGATCTGCGGGAGGTGTGCTAGCTTGGGACCCAGTTTGGGTACACATGGGAGACAAGAGGTCGATCCCCTAGGGGCTCCCTTGGCTTCGAGGCCACCGCACCACTAAGGAAACCCTCCAGAACCTGTCTGGTCTGAGATTCCAAAGCGAGAAGAATCTTGTGTCGCAAAGTTCTAATCTTTGCCTTTCCATGGTGTCTGTGTGCAAAGGAAAAGCCCCTCTTCCTACCTTGACAGTGTATTGAGTTTCAGGCTTTAGGTGCCTAATGACAGCAGATCCTGAGAACTGATGATTGAATGAATGTACAGCTCTCATAAAGTTCCTGGCTATAGTAATGCCAACGCATGAAGTTTCTGACTGTTGTAATGCGAACGATTGTGTACTATCAGTGTGTGGAACTTCACGGAAAATTCATGCTGTAAAAACCTAGGAGAAATTAAAGGTATTGCCGCAAAAAGTGGCATGATGGGAAAACGGAGGAAATAAAACATAGATGAAATTACTTTTATGCAGTACTCAGCTTGGAAGATCATCTTCCTCAACTTGGATTCAAGAAAACATGCAAAACCAGCTAACAGACCATCTTAATGAGAATGTATTTTAAATTGAAAGAGAATCATACATCCACTTTTCTGCCTTTGGAAGGATTTAATGATGGTCCAACTAGGATAAAAATAAATTTTATACAAATATATTGAAAAACTAGAAACAGACTGTTAAATGTTCTCACTTTAACATGAGGAGTTGGGTGATACCGAGTGAAGTAAAGACTTACTGACTTTTGTGTTTTGGATAAACTGTGTTCAGGACCTTATGCTGAAAAATTTATTTCAGCATTACTGCTTGTTTAGTAGTATATCTCAAATTTTCAATCAGCATCATAGGTGGGCGTGGCCACATTCTGCTTATACTATTATAAAATTGATCTGATTTATATATTCTATACCTGACTCTTGTAGAAGCTTACCTTATTTGTATTTTTTTTCTTCATTTGAGGAAGATGTGGGCTATTATCCCTCAAACTGTAATAAACTTAGTTGCAGTTTTCATGCAAAACCAAATTGTCTAGTTAAAAATAGCTCTTAAGTGGACTGATACGCTTATTATTTAAAAGAGATCTTGTTTTTTATGCTGCCATTTACGGAAATAACATAAATACCTCATTGTTTTCATTCTGGATGTTATTGTAACCTTAAGGAAACTGCAGATAATTTAAGACATATAAGGATTGACTTTTACTTAACTATGATTTATGAATTATTTTCCTTAAAAATCAGTATATCTTCATTGTTAGTGTGTTTAAATTAAACATATACCAATGTCTGTAATTTATCCCAACCAGGAAAGTACTTATTTCTAGTTTGTGTGTATCTGTGTGTGTGTGTGTGTGTGTGCAGGTGAGAGAGAGAGAGAGAGACTGTATATGTATTCACTAGATCAACTTCAATATATTCTTTAAGTTACTATCTTACCCACAAAATATGAACATGTTAAATTTTTACATACATGTGCCTCTGTGTGTGTGTGTGTGTGTGTGTGTGTGTGTACACGTGCGTGTAAGAATATTGGTTTCCTGAGGATTAGAGAAAAAAGTATAATGGAAATATTACTAACACTTTTTTCTGTAGTTTTCCTAAAGAATTGCATTATGATTGCATAATAAGTAGTTCCATGAGTTATGGTTCTACCTGTTGCCAAGCAACAAAGGCTCTTCTGGTGGTTTTTATTATGATGATGATGATGTCCTATTTCTATACTGGCCTATCTCCCTTTCAGCAGAAAAAAAATTACCTTAAGATTTTTTTAAATGACTAACATTTAGAAAATTGAATTAATAATTTCATGATAGATTAATCTAATCTTCCATTACTGGAAATATGGGTTTTTAATAGTTAAAGGGTAAAGAATTATCACAGGAATTTAATTCATAATCCTCAAAAATGATGAGACAATACATGGATATGGAGGTTAAGAACATGCCTGGAAAGATTAGTATCCCTAAAAGTTTTGCCTTCTCAGAAGGAAAGGCTATTGAGCATCCAGATTACCCACACTACAGTAGCGTCTTACAGAAAATGAACATGCCCTTTGTAAAAGGACTTGAAGACAGACATAACTGTGACAGATTTGAAAAGAAATGCAACCCTCCGTTTTTAAAATTTCATCCTTATCCTCCTTCAATCCTGCCAGACTATCATTTTCACTACCCTTACCCCCCACCATTCGGGAAGGCATATCCATTATTCCCACTGCGTGACGATGTGCCCTTGGGTGACCCCTGCTCAGGATTTATGAGTCCTGGTGGTGATGCTGATTTAAAGCCTGGTGTTGGCAGAGCCATACCAAACCTGGTGAGTTTCTATGATGTGAAACCTCAAAATCGAGTTCCTAGGCCAGACAAAGGATTTCAAACAACAATAAAAAGGCAAACAATACTTTCAGAAGAACTAAAACAGGACAGAAGATGGAATTCCAGGAAAGTACAAGACATTTCCATCAAAGCAAAACTTGGAGGTAAGTAAAGCAGCATAGCCTTTATATGTTCTTCAAGTGAGGCAGCAGAGCATGAGGTTGAGATTTTTTAAATTTTAAGCAGTTAAATTGGCATAAATTATAACCAAACAAATTATTTTAAATTAGATCTTAAGAAAGTCTTGTTACTGGTGATACAATGTATAAATCTGCTTATAAAACCAAATTTTGTTTACAAAAAAAATCAAATGATTTTCTAAATTTATGTTTAATTGTTCAACAGCAAATATGTTAACAAATAATTTATTCTAATTATACAGATGACTTATTTTACCAAAAGAGGATTTATGTGTCATGTTATAATTGTATAACAAACTTCCCTCTTTGTTTCTCTCCATTGTAATCAACCTTCTGGTTAAAAAATTAGGTTACATGGACTGAAATTAAATGGGAAAGATGCAAGTAAATTTGAGTAAGAACAGGAACTGAAGAGAAGCAAACCCCTCATAAGTAGAGTTATGCTTCTGATGGCTGAATTATTGATACCACTGTCGTCTGTACTAGGATTCTCTGGACAGAGATGTAGTGATAAATATCTCCAAAGGAAAAATCACAACAACTATTTCCTGTGTAAGGGAAATGTACGTGGTAGGCAGGGAGTGAGTGATAAAAGATTAGCATCTTTGACTATGGGAAAAGGTCAGACCTTTGACTGGGGTGCTTTGGCTTGCTAGAGTGTTAGGAACTGCAGGATGCTTCCAGAGTTCATCTTCAGCTTTCACCCAAAACCTTAGAGGATAAAGGAACGCAGTGTATAATTAAGGGCAAGACCACCACATATCTGCACAGTAAAAACACATTCTATCTGACATTCTGCCCAGGGACAGACCACAGTTATTAGGGACCAAGAAGAAAGTGCAAGGAAAGAACAAAATCACTGTGAAAAGGGCACTCAGCATGACTCCAGCCTCACCCTACAGCTGCTTCTAAGCTGGAAGGGAAAACCTGGAGAGGCATAAGCAAAGGATGAGTTATGCTCTTCATATATCTCTCAAATTACGGTCGTCTTAAAACAACCATAGGGAGTTCTTGACTACCTATATAGAATATTAACAAAGTCAGCATATTTTAAGAGTTGGTTATCTGAAAATTCTATGCTACTGAGAATCAAATGCAAGACATAATAAACACTATGTTGGTTGTTAGAAATCAAAAAAGGAGCTTGGACTCATAGTTTATTACTAAAAATACATCATTAAGAGAAATAAAGTTGGCTGGAGAACTATCTCGGTGGTTAAGAGTACTGACTGCTCTTCCAGGGGATGCAGGTTCAAATCTCACATGACAGCTTACAACTGACTGTAACTCTAGTTCCAGGGGACCCAACACTCTCACACCAAAACACATAAAATTAAATGAATAAAAATTTTTAAAAGGAAAGAAATAAAGTCATGTATAGATACTACTTACCATGTAAGCAGAAAACTCCAGTCCAATCTAATTTCAAAGGCAACATTGTCAGTCAGTTCTTAAAAGTATTTCTCACCCTGAATTCTCGTAATATTCCAAAAGACTTTAGGCTGAAGAAGGGACTTATTAAAGGAACTAAATGACCAAAATGGTTTTTATAAACATGTCAATAACAACTTAGAAGCAAATTTATCTAAGGATTTATCTGGGCTATATATTTTACGGCCTGATTAGAATAAAACCTCTGAGTTTAAGCTCCAAGATCAATACAATATGGAATTGACTCCTGTGTTTATCTGTTATATGACCCGGAGCTACTTAAAATTCTCTGTCTACCTGTGTATCCTTACTTATAAACTAAGGAAAGTAATTTGTAGCATGTTACTAGTGACTGTTTTATATGAATATGATTCATGTAAAAATAACTAATGTGAAAAACAGGACCAGTGTGGCCAGATAGCATAAATTAAACCCCAGAATGTTCAGTTGCTTCAAACATAAATTAGAAACAATAATATGTATCTTACAAAATTCTAAGACTTAAAATGTATAATGGACAGGAAATTTTCTGGAAATGGAAGAGTATTCAATAAACAGTAGCCGTTATTATTAATTACTATCTTCTGTTTCAAAGAGTAAAACTTGAGGTTTGTGGATTGAGTTCCAAATAATTTTCAAGTGTTTCAATGACTTTGAAGACACTAGAAATATTTATTAATCATGGCAAGTATGTCAGATTTCAGGCAAACCAGATTCACATCCCCAGTAAATCCTGACAAAGAAAGGAATCTTAGAATGTATTATACTACATTTAGTATTTTCTTTTTTGTTATTGTTAATTAATTATTTTACTTATTTATACCCGAAATGTTCCTCCCTCTCCCAGTCCTCCTCGAAGAGTTCTTCCTCCCCTCCTCCTCCCTTTGCCTCTGACAGGGTGTCACCCGCAGACATCTCCCTTCTCTGGGGCATCAGGTCTCTACAAGATTAGGCACATCCTCTCTCACTAAGGCCAGACAAGGCATACCTCTACTACATATGTACCATGGACCTCCGACCAGCATCTGTATGCTCTTTGGTTGGTGACTTAGTCTTTGAGAGCTCCCAGGGGTCCAAGCTAGTTGACACTGTTGGTCTTCCTATGGGATTGCCATCCACTTCAGTTCCTTCAATCCTTCCCCTAAACTCTTCCACAGGGGTCTCCAAACCTCAGTCTAATGCTTGCCTGTGGGTATATGAATCTGTCTTAGTTAGCTGCTGATAGACCCTCTGTGAGGACAGCCATGTCTTGTCTGAAAGCATAACATAGCATTAGTAATAGTGTTAGGGACCAGTACCTATCCATGGGATGGATCCAAAGTTAGGCAGGTCACTGGGTGACCATTCATTCAGTGTCTGTTCCATTTTCCCCCTACATTTCTTTTACACAAGAACAATTTGGGGTTGAAATTTTTGAAGGTGGCTTGGTGTTCCCATCCCTCCACTGGGGGGTCTGTCTAACTACTAGAGGTGGTCTCTTCAGGTTTCATCCCCCCACTTTTGGGCATTTCAGCTAAAGTCACCCACATTGAGTCCTGAGATTCAACCTTACACCAATCAGAATGGCTAAGTTCAAAAACTCAAGTAACAGCACATGATGGGGAGAATATGGAGAAAGAGGAACACTCTTCCATTGCTTGTGGGAGTGCAAACTGGTACAACTACTCTGGAAATCAATCTGGAAGTTCTTCAGAAAATTGGAAATAGTTCTACCTGAAGACTCACCTATACCTCTCCTATACCCAAAATATACTCCACCATAACACAAAGACACATGCTCCACTATGTTCACAGCAGTTCTATTCATAATAGCCAGAAACTCGAAGCAACCCAGATGTCCCTCAACCAAAGAATGAATACAGAAAAGTGGTTAATTTACACAATGAAATACTATTGAGCTATTAAAAAGGAGGACATTATAAACTTTGTGGAAATGTGTGGAACTAGAAAATAATATCCATAATATCCTCTAAGAATATTTTTGAGTGAGACCCAGAAGAACATGCATAGTATGTAATTACTTATAAGTGGATATTAACCAAAAAGTACAGAATACTCATGATACACCCCACAAGACTCTAAGAAGCTAAACAAGGAAAGCCCAATCCCACTTAGAAGAAGGTACAAAATAATCATGAGAGGCAGACAGAGGGAGGGACCTAGGTGAGAAGGGGGAGGAGAAGGCAAAAGGGGGAGCAAGATCTGGTGTGGTGAGAAACAGGAGAGAAGCCTGGAGAGCCAGGAGAATGAATGGAAATATGCAGCTCCCATCGGTGAGAGTGTGGGGAACCACTAGAAAGTTCTACATTCAGTATTTTTAATGGACTTTCACAAATATTAAAGCAGCACCACAAAAAATTACATTGACAACTTTCCCCATCCCAATCTTTTTAGTCTTTTGTTCCTGAATGGCTCTTTACTGGACACTTTGATTCTCATTGCCCATAGGACTTGGTTTTCCATATTATAGATAAAATAAATTTGTCTATTGCTTTTCTTCAGGTTGAACTCCAGCTGATATCAATATTTAAACATCTCTGCATATCTTTCCATCTTCCTTATCCACTTCTGTACCTTAGGCATTTATGAAAATGTTATATGTGGAAGAGTGGTTGGTTGCAACAACAGTCCCTTATTTCTCATAGTTATAGAGGGTGAAAAATCCAAAGTCAAGCCTCTTCATGAAGCCCTCTTCCTGGCTTGCAGATGGCTGCTTAATCCCTCCATCCCTCAGGCAGAAGAGAGAAATAGAGACACAATGCATCATCATTGCCATTATGAAAGTAATGTTACATGTACTAATAGGTGGTTCATAAACATGTTGAGCATTTTAGCTGCATGCCATAAACTTGGCTCACACTTCAGTAGCCAAAAGTTTAATCTTTCAATTCTGATGACAATAAAGATGAAAAATCATCTCAAAATCGTAAAGAAGAAAGATGAGAAGGGGGAGAGGAAGAGGAGGAGGAGAAGGAGGAGGAGGAGGAGGAGAAGAAGAGGAGGAGGAGGAGGAGGAGGAGGAGGAGGAGGAGGAGGAGGAGGAGGAAGAGGAAGAAACCTCCAACTGATAAAAAATATATTCATAATTTCAACCCAGGACAAGCTGGGGAAGGAAGGTTGCCAGAGTAGAATTCAGAGATGACCACTGATCACCTGGGCTGTACAAACCATCTCTCACAATCTTTCCTTTGCCAACAACTCTGTCTGCATATCTCCCAAATTTTAACTTCAGAATCCAAGGTTTATATGTTGTATTAATTCATGGAGTGAAACTATGATCATGATCGGGGTACAAAGAAAGCTGCTCTGTCCCTAGGAGATCACAGAAAAATTATCTCTGGAGACGACCAAAGTTGTGACAGCATGCTCACTTCTGTTGGTCAACTGAACAAATCACAGTAGTTTCTGAAAGTTTTAAACTCTCTAATTAAAACACTCCAAAGACAACCATTTATAGTTTAAGTCCAAGCTTTCCTGTGCTAGCCCTTTTATCTCCTGTTCTTCTACCATCCCGCTATTTATTCCTAATACTT